AGCTTTTCGGACCCAAAGTGACCGGACCCGACCTCTCGTCAGCTTTCCTCTCTCCTTCCCCATCTTCGCTTCCTTCCACATTTTCGGGCCCTTTCTCTTCGATAGGCATATCGACCCTCGCCTTCTTTGAGGCGTCACCGTTCTCTGCATCACAACCATCATCCCTTGCCCGCTTCACACTGCTGCATTCAATCCCAGCATCCACATCGGCGTTGGGTTCAGTACCCATGTCCTTGTTCGGGGTCTCTCCCGATTAGGGTTTTGTGGATTCCGGTGCAGCTTCCGACGTAGACTGGCTGTGACGACGGAAGCTTGAAAAGTTCTAGACTATTATCAACTTTTTATATATAGGAATTGAGGAAAGTGTCAAATGAGTATCTTAAATTGTATCTAGAAGAGTAAAGAGCGAGTAAAGAGTACATTAATTTACAATTGAGATTCAGAAGTACATAAACTTGGGAACATTGTGTTAATTCAGTACAAATTTAAATTTAAACCTTAATATGTCTGATGTGGCTAAAGAATTCCTGATATAACAAAATTAAACTCACAGCATCTGCTTACTACACATTATTAATTTCCAATCCCTACTTATTCTTCTCCAACTCGGCTGACGATGGTGAACTGGGAGAGTGGAGTGTCGGCGTCTTTCATTGCCTGAAGCCGTCGAGCGGCTCAAGCCCTCAGCAGTCGCAGGGGAAGCACTCTTGAGGGGATGAGAATTCTGCAATTGTTAAATTTTGCTGCGGATTTGCGTGTGAATTTCGCAGGGGACCAATTACTGCGGTGTGATTGTGTGAATTTTGCAATTGTTGATGATATGTTTTTGTCGTGAACGTGAACATCAGAGGAGATGAGATTGCACTCTATCTAGATGTGTAAGCTCAGAAACAAAACAAAAGTACCTAGGAGAAGAAGATGGAAGATCTAGAACCAAAGAACAAACCTTTTCTGTGGATGAAATTTTCATTCAGATGACTCTAGGGTTAGATACAAGGGAGATAAAGGTTGTTGATCCTGATTTGGACTCCATCGTTTATCAAAGAAACTGTAATTAATTGCCACATCAACTCTTTTTTACATTAAACTCAAACTTGTACTAAATTGACACTAAAATCTCAAATTCATGTACATTTAAATCTCGATTACAATTTAATGTACTCTTTATGCTATTGTGTACAACTTAATGTACTCAGTTGGCACTTTTGTCTATAGGAATGTACATAAGGAATTCTAAAGTTAAAACAATTTCATAGTATTCAAAGTGCCATTTTGATTTTATTAAAATATACTCCGTATAATGATACCGCGTATTTGTTATTTGTTATTTTTATTGTACATTTAATATATAATTTGAATGGTTTTTATTCTTAAACAAATACTCGTAGGTAGTATTGTATATAAATACTACGTATATTGTGAAATAAATTTAATATTTCTTTAAAAAAATATGTGATTAAGTGTACTAATCAACGAGCCAATAGTCTCATGTCGGCCGCTGGAGCCTTTTTCCGATTTCGACTTGGTCGAAGATCGGTTTTGCTATCCCTTGGTCGCTGGTACTCGGCTGGTGTCCAGGTCAGACGCGGAGGGCGGAGATTGGTGGAGGAAGGCGGATTTGCTGTCATGGCTCGAGGAGATCGGCACTGTGGTCAAGGTTCGAGGATGCAGCGTTGCTGTCATCGTTGGAGAAGATTGGCGTCGCCTATCCGTTTACTCCGGTCGCACGGAGCAGGGATGAGTCTGGTTTTGCAGGGACGGAGGATTGATGCACGGTCTTTGGTAGTCAAAGGTCATGGAGGGTCAATTAGCATGGTACCGGTGGTACGACCTCCTCCTGAACCACCACCATGGGATGTACGAGGTGCCAGAGTTCGCGAAAGTTTTTCTTGTAGTTTTTATCTGTTTGTTATTCGTTTTTTAGTGTCTATTTTTGTTGTTGGCTTTGACAGTTTGTTTGAGTTTTTTGCCTCTCTTTATGTCATTGGGTATAGTTGGATCTATGGGAACAGGTTTGGCTGTGTCAAGCCCACTACATGGTTAGCGATTCGTGTTGCTCTCTCAGGGGTGACCGTCTCAAAGTCTCACCATAGGGTTACAGTCGTAGTTGTTGGAGTTTCAGTTGGTGTCAGTTTTATTTTCCTTTTACTTGATGTAATGATCCTGAATCTTTTGATATGAATAGAGGCCTGTTTGATGATAAAAAAACGAGCCAATAGTCTCTCTCTAGCGGTCATCTCTCTACTAGTTAGGGTTTCGTTCTTCCGCTGTCGTCATCGACGAAGAGCGGCCATCGCTCGATTACGGTCGTGCAAGCGGGCCCGGGAACAGGGATATGATGCAGCGCTTTAGCAGTCAGGGCTTGACTTCTGCTATTGTTTCTGGTCGAAGGTAGAGTGTTGACAAAGAAAAGGTGGATAAGCTTTGGCGGAGCTTGGGTTCAATTCAGCGACAAAGGATATCAATGGAGGATATCAGCTATCAATACAAAAGCATGGCTATTGAGGCGGATGAGCGGCGGGGGCATCCTCTCCCGAGCCGCCGCCATGGAATGCAAGCAAGTCTAGGGTTTGGAAGAAGATGAGTGAACTTTGTTATAAATCCATTTTATTCTGTTTGTGTTTTTCTTTCGATTGCATGTTTTTTTGGATGTGTTCTTATATCCTAGCAGAGAGATTCTAGAATTTAAATCAGGTGATGTCTGGTTTGCCTGTCATTGGCTCAGTTAAGCCCGTTACTGGATCAACGAATATTATTACTTCTACATAAGTGATAGATTCTAAGTCTGGTTCGAGGGCGGACGACAAACAAAAGGCTTTTTATCGTTTTGTTTCCTGTTTTTTCTTTGATTGTATTATCAGTCATGTGACAAACGTTTTGTTGATTTAATATATTTGTTGGTATGACGATTTTTTTTGATCGTTTTGTTGGTTTGACGATAAAAAAAGGTATTGAAATTGTAATTTTATTGGTAAAAAATGCTTTAAATTTTAAAAAAAGAACTCTTTTTTGGAAAAACAACCAAAGCTGGGTTTTCCCAGGTTTGTCGGATTTTTCGGGTTCAGGCCTGGACTGGGGGTTTCCGATTTTGACCACTTTCGGGTTTTTAATTAACTGAACCGGATTTTGGTCTAGGTCGGTCCGGCCGGTCTGGTCTAATTTGTTTAACTCTGATTTGACCTGATCCAATCTTATTTGGTCCGTTTAAATTCGGTCTGCTCTAGGATTGAAATAAATCCAATTAAAAACATGCTAACAATGTCGGTCAGGTACGTATATTATCTTTAGGTACTATATAATTATAATTAAGTGATTTTTTTAAAATATTACTAGTATAGTATTCGTGCAATACACGAAATATTAATATCGTTGCTCAATGTGAAATATAGATTAACTTTTTTTTTCATTTCTATTTTAGATACTTATAACATCCAAGTTAAAGCTTCTCATTTATAATTTAGAAAATAATTAATTAAGATTTTTAAATAATAAATCAATCATTAAATATTAAAATGTTAAACCTATAACATCACAGTTATCATCAATTACAACATTATGTTATATACCTATTAAAATTGTTTAAAAATATAACTTGAATTACTTTATTTAATTATTATCTAAGATGGTATAAAGTCTTCAGCGGACAACATTGGGAGCATGTTTCATTTTAAACAAAAACCCGATAAAAAAGTTGTAAAATGTCTCAAATACTAGCTCCTCCTCCCAAAATCCTAATTCTAATTTATTTGGACTTCCCATTGCAACTCTTGCGACGAAGATGGCGACCAACCTTCATTCTTCTTTTTGCATCGATTCTCCAATCGGCGACGGTGATTAGGAAGAGCGATGGTGGTGTCGGATCCTCCCCTCCTTGTCTGTAAACCACCCTTGCTTGAGCTTAAGTTTCACATCGATTCGCGTCTCACGCAGTGGCGGACCCACTAAGGGTCCCGGGACCCCATGCAATTCCAAAAATTTACTATATACAGGGGCGGAGCCAGAAAAATGAGTGAGGGGGGTCGCAATTTAATTATATACAGTATCAAAATAATGGATAGTTATTATACAATATTTGAGTCAAATGTTTCATATGTAGTTCAGATAAATGATACGTAGTAGTTTAATGAACATTTTTCGGGGTCGGCTGACCCCCCTGACCCCTCTTTAACTCCGCCCCTGCCTATATAAAAAAAAAAGATGACACCCCATCCCTGAGGCCCCCCCAACACCGACCGGACAGCACGATGGGAGGATGTAAGTTGGACTATAATCACAATCTGACAGATAGAGAGTGGGGCTCCATCCCCGGTACTTGCAGAGGCCCTATGCATTTTTCAGCATAGTAACCCCTTATCGCAGTTTCCGGGATTCGAACCCGAGACCTAACCCTTGTGGCACTCTCTCGCTACCAGTTGAGCTACGCCCCTGCCTATATATATTATACTAGACGGAGTATATATCTTTTACAAAATTAATTAATAAATGTATATAACAAACAAATGCGACTAAGAAGCCGAAGGACTGAATTTGAGGAACGGGAGAAGACGTGGGTGTAAAGCACTTCCGTCTTGTGAGGTTCTTGATTCGACCTCCGTATCCGATAGACCTGCACAAAACCGGGCCGGCCCGCCCGGCCCGCCCGGCCCGCCCATATAAATGGGCGGGTTTGGACACATGCTTTAGCCCACCGGGCCGGGCCGGGCCCGGCCCGTTTAAAATATGGGCGGGCTTGGGTTGTAATATAGGCCCGGTCGGGCCTAAAAGCCCGGCCCGTAAACATATTATATATATTATATTATATATATTATTCTATATATAATTATACAGTATATGACTATACGTATAAAAAATTTAAGTTAAAACTTAAAATACTTGGAAGTATTAAGGTTTGGAGACCAACAAACATCCTAATGCTATACCATCGGCCCAACCAAGTAGTCCGTGTTAAATTAAAAATTTTAAAACTCAAAACCCTATTTTACTTAATTCGTAATTCGTATACCAGCCCCATAGAAGAACCGAGAACGGCTCCTACTGTGAGTACAATCCTGTAATCCAATTCTATCGACAGAGTTCTTGAGCGGCCAAAAGAAAAACATTTATGCTTGAGCAGACCGATATCATCCATGTCGCCAGATCAATCCGGTAGTTCAGCCCCCATCAGGGATTCATCTCCGTCTCAGATGAGGTATCTTCTCGTTTTTTCTTGACTATTTAGGACTAAAATGTTTGTTTGTAACTTTGTATATTGATGACTTTGATGTATGCTTGGCAGTGACAAGCATGATTAAATAAGAAAAAAGATTTCCAGTGAGGTTTAAAAACTGAATCAAGTAACAAAAAATTTCTGAATGAAACATAGTGTGCTAGACATCATATAACTACCAAAGTACCAACTACCAAGTAACAAAAAATACAAAGCTTACAATTCAGTTAACTTACTATTTTAGTTATTATTGAAGGTAGATTTTAAAACCACTTTTTTGTATTTATAGGTTATATTTGATGTTTAGGCTTGAAATAGTTATTATCTGCATTCCTATTTTCATTATATACATTATGTACTGTTCGTAAGTTTACAAATTTCACCTATGAACAGAATTTAGAAATTCAACAGCTACTTTTATTAGTATGGTGCAAAATTCAGCATCTGTTTATATTCTTTTTTTTTTATTTTCAATTAATTTAAGTTTTTTGTGTTTCACATAGATCAATGGAAGACCATAACATCGAAAGAGAGGCACATAACAGTGAAGGGGGAGATCAAAGTAATACAAATCAGTTCACTTTGAAGGGAAAGAAACTGAAATCTGATGTCTGGGATGATATGGATAGAGATGTTTTGGATGATGGAGTGATTCGAGCTACATGTCATCACTGTAAGAAAACTCTCACTGCCAATTCTAAGAGTGGAACTTCTCATTTGAAAAGACATCTTTCTCAGTGTGCTTCACGTAAGTATAACAACCTAAAAAGCTATTGTATTGTTGGTGGAGGTGGTGATTCTCAGCTTGAATGTGGTACTAAGATAGGTAATACTATGTCTTTAAATAGGCCTTTACCTACCACCTCTGCAATTCGTGAAGCCATGTCTGTGTTTTTTGTTTCATGTGCATTACCATTTTCACTAGTTGAAGCACCGGGTTTTAAGCATTTTATGAGTGTAATTGCACCTCAATTTCAGCAAGTTAGTAGAATGACCATTAAAAGAGATGCCGTGAGTAACTATAAAACCCATAAAGCTATTGTTGCTCAAGAGCTTGATAGTGCTCCGGGTCGTATTTGTTTCACTACAGATAATTGGAGGAGTGAACACACAAGTGATGAGTTCATGTGTGTAACAGCTCATTGGATTGATAAATCGTGGAAGTTACAAAAGAGAATAATCAAATTTGCTGCTTTACCACCTTCACTTGATGGTTCTTCTCTTGCTGATGAGATTCTTTTGTGTTTTGGTGAATGGAAAATAGGTGACAAGGTGTTTAGTTTTACGGTTGATAATGCGTCTTATAATGATACAATGATGACATCTCTTAAAAGGCACTTGTTGAGAAAAAACACCTTGTTGATGAATGGAAAATTTGTTCACATCCGTTGTTCTTGTCACATTATAAACTTAGTGGTTCAAGCGGGTCTTAAACTCATTGATGATTGCATCCTTAAGATAAGGAAAATGGTAACACATTTGAAGCATTCCATGCCCAAAAATAAAAAATTTTATGAGATAGCTTCCACTACTTTTAGTTTGAATACTACCAAGAAGCTACGTTTAGACACACCTATTAGGTGGAATTCAACTTTCACTATGTTGGATCGTTTCCTTTACTTTCGGGATGCTATTGATAGCTTTGTTAGTAAGAATGTAGATTTGAAATGCTATCGTCTCACCGAGGAGGAATGGACAAAGGTTGGTCAGTTGAAAAAGTTCTTGCAAGTATTTTTTGATGTAACAAATGACTTTTCTGCTTCTAAGACACCAACCTCGAATATCTATTTTTGTGGGGTGTGGAAAATTCATAAATTGTTGAAAAAAACAGCAGCTGCCCCTCCCAGCATTTTATCAAACATGGTCAGTGAGATGCAATTGAAATTTCAAAAATATTGGGAAGATTACAATCTCATTCTTTCATGCGCTGCTGTTTTTGATCCTCGTTTGAAGTTAGATGGTGTTGGGTTTTTGTATAAGAAGTTGCTGGGGGAAGAAAGTGGTGATGTCTTTGTGCATAAAATCAAAACTACTTTGGTTGAACTTCTGGATGAATACAAGGGTGCATTTGGTGAAGTGGGGGAATCTGGTCAGAACACTTCAAGTAGCCATTTTAATTCTTCTATGCTACAATCTGAGTTTGATAGTGGGTCTGATGAAGAGGATCTTTACCAGTTTATGAGCAAGAAAAGGAAGGCAGAAATAAAATCAGAGCTAGACCTTTATTTAGATGAAAAACCACTTAATATGAAGGATGATGTTAATGTTTTGCAATTCTGGAAGCGCAATTCCTCTAGGTTTGTTATTCTTTCATCATTGGCTCGGGATATTCTAAGTCTTCCGGTCTCTACTGTTCCTTCTGAATCCGCCTTTAGTTTGGGGAAGAAAATAATAACTCCTTCCAGAAGTTCTTTGTCCCCCACAACCGTTGAGGCCCTTGCATGTTATGAAGATTGGTTGCGTGCGGCTGGATTTGAACCAGGTAATTTTTTTTATGTATAGCACATTCTTTTTCATTATGTATAGATCAATATGTTTTTGGATTACATATAGACCTGCACAAAACCGGGCCGGCCCGCCCGGCCCGCCCGGCCCGCCCATATAAATGGGCGGGTTTGGACACATGCTTTAGCCCACCGGGCCGGGCCGGGCCCGGCCCGTTTAAAATATGGGCGGGCTTGGGTTGTAATATAGGCCCGGTCGGGCCTAAAAGCCCGGCCCGTAAACATATTATATATATTATATTATATATATTATTCTATATATAATTATACAGTATATGACTATACGTATAAAAAATTTAAGTTAAAACTTAAAATACTTGGAAGTATTAAGGTTTGGAGACCAACAAACATCCTAATGCTATACCATCGGCCCAACCAAGTAGTCCGTGTTAAATTAAAAATTTTAAAACTCAAAACCCTATTTTACTTAATTCGTAATTCGTATACCAGCCCCATAGAAGAACCGAGAACGGCTCCTACTGTGAGTACAATCCTGTAATCCAATTCTATCGACAGAGTTCTTGAGCGGCCAAAAGAAAAACATTTATGCTTGAGCAGACCGATATCATCCATGTCGCCAGATCAATCCGGTAGTTCAGCCCCCATCAGGGATTCATCTCCGTCTCAGATGAGGTATCTTCTCGTTTTTTCTTGACTATTTAGGACTAAAATGTTTGTTTGTAACTTTGTATATTGATGACTTTGATGTATGCTTGGCAGTGACAAGCATGATTAAATAAGAAAAAAGATTTCCAGTGAGGTTTAAAAACTGAATCAAGTAACAAAAAATTTCTGAATGAAACATAGTGTGCTAGACATCATATAACTACCAAAGTACCAACTACCAAGTAACAAAAAATACAAAGCTTACAATTCAGTTAACTTACTATTTTAGTTATTATTGAAGGTAGATTTTAAAACCACTTTTTTGTATTTATAGGTTATATTTGATGTTTAGGCTTGAAATAGTTATTATCTGCATTCCTATTTTCATTATATACATTATGTACTGTTCGTAAGTTTACAAATTTCACCTATGAACAGAATTTAGAAATTCAACAGCTACTTTTATTAGTATGGTGCAAAATTCAGCATCTGTTTATATTCTTTTTTTTTATTTTCAATTAATTTAAGTTTTTTGTGTTTCACATAGATCAATGGAAGACCATAACATCGAAAGAGAGGCACATAACAGTGAAGGGGGAGATCAAAGTAATACAAATCAGTTCACTTTGAAGGGAAAGAAACTGAAATCTGATGTCTGGGATGATATGGATAGAGATGTTTTGGATGATGGAGTGATTCGAGCTACATGTCATCACTGTAAGAAAACTCTCACTGCCAATTCTAAGAGTGGAACTTCTCATTTGAAAAGACATCTTTCTCAGTGTGCTTCACGTAAGTATAACAACCTAAAAAGCTATTGTATTGTTGGTGGAGGTGGTGATTCTCAGCTTGAATGTGGTACTAAGATAGGTAATACTATGTCTTTAAATAGGCCTTTACCTACCACCTCTGCAATTCGTGAAGCCATGTCTGTGTTTTTTGTTTCATGTGCATTACCATTTTCACTAGTTGAAGCACCGGGTTTTAAGCATTTTATGAGTGTAATTGCACCTCAATTTCAGCAAGTTAGTAGAATGACCATTAAAAGAGATGCCGTGAGTAACTATAAAACCCATAAAGCTATTGTTGCTCAAGAGCTTGATAGTGCTCCGGGTCGTATTTGTTTCACTACAGATAATTGGAGGAGTGAACACACAAGTGATGAGTTCATGTGTGTAACAGCTCATTGGATTGATAAATCGTGGAAGTTACAAAAGAGAATAATCAAATTTGCTGCTTTACCACCTTCACTTGATGGTTCTTCTCTTGCTGATGAGATTCTTTTGTGTTTTGGTGAATGGAAAATAGGTGACAAGGTGTTTAGTTTTACGGTTGATAATGCGTCTTATAATGATACAATGATGACATCTCTTAAAAGGCACTTGTTGAGAAAAAACACCTTGTTGATGAATGGAAAATTTGTTCACATCCGTTGTTCTTGTCACATTATAAACTTAGTGGTTCAAGCGGGTCTTAAACTCATTGATGATTGCATCCTTAAGATAAGGAAAATGGTAACACATTTGAAGCATTCCATGCCCAAAAATAAAAAATTTTATGAGATAGCTTCCACTACTTTTAGTTTGAATACTACCAAGAAGCTACGTTTAGACACACCTATTAGGTGGAATTCAACTTTCACTATGTTGGATCGTTTCCTTTACTTTCGGGATGCTATTGATAGCTTTGTTAGTAAGAATGTAGATTTGAAATGCTATCGTCTCACCGAGGAGGAATGGACAAAGGTTGGTCAGTTGAAAAAGTTCTTGCAAGTATTTTTTGATGTAACAAATGACTTTTCTGCTTCTAAGACACCAACCTCGAATATCTATTTTTGTGGGGTGTGGAAAATTCATAAATTGTTGAAAAAAACAGCAGCTGCCCCTCCCAGCATTTTATCAAACATGGTCAGTGAGATGCAATTGAAATTTCAAAAATATTGGGAAGATTACAATCTCATTCTTTCATGCGCTGCTGTTTTTGATCCTCGTTTGAAGTTAGATGGTGTTGGGTTTTTGTATAAGAAGTTGCTGGGGGAAGAAAGTGGTGATGTCTTTGTGCATAAAATCAAAACTACTTTGGTTGAACTTCTGGATGAATACAAGGGTGCATTTGGTGAAGTGGGGGAATCTGGTCAGAACACTTCAAGTAGCCATTTTAATTCTTCTATGCTACAATCTGAGTTTGATAGTGGGTCTGATGAAGAGGATCTTTACCAGTTTATGAGCAAGAAAAGGAAGGCAGAAATAAAATCAGAGCTAGACCTTTATTTAGATGAAAAACCACTTAATATGAAGGATGATGTTAATGTTTTGCAATTCTGGAAGCGCAATTCCTCTAGGTTTGTTATTCTTTCATCATTGGCTCGGGATATTCTAAGTCTTCCGGTCTCTACTGTTCCTTCTGAATCCGCCTTTAGTTTGGGGAAGAAAATAATAACTCCTTCCTGAAGTTCTTTGTCCCCCACAACCGTTGAGGCCCTTGCATGTTATGAAGATTGGTTGCGTGCGGCTGGATTTGAACCAGGTAATTTTTTTTATGTATAGCACATTCTTTTTCATTATGTATAGATCAATATGTTTTTGGATTACATATCTTTTTCTTGAATTTATTTTCTGCCTTTTTTATATAATTTCATTACCATGCCATTATTTACAAGTGTCATTATTTTCCATTATTTTTAACTTGTAAGGTTCCGCAAGTATGTTCAAGATCGGTGATGGACGTTCGAATGATAGCGAGGATGAAGAAGATGAAATGCCACTCTAGTGTAAGACATTGCTTCTCTTACACAGACGGTAAGATTCAGAAATCACAATATAGTAGTTTTCATTATCTCAATGTTTTTACTTTGTTTATACATAATATTTGGTTTTCATTATTTGATATTTATTGGCACTTGGCAGAGCAGTCTGGGAGATCAATTACTTTCTGGTGAAATGAAGGAGTGTCGAGAAGTTCTTGGGATACCAATTACTTTTTGTGTTCTACTATTTAAATTTGAACTGTAATGATATACATTTGTTAAGTCTTTTTGGAGATACTCGTGACTATTTCCGCTGCACATTGTGAATCTGTGATTGTGCTTTTAATTATGGAATATTGATGCTTATTTGGAATTTGGATGCTTTTTGTTTTCCAGAATCGTTTTGTGTATTGCATTTAAACGTATTCTTGTGTTCAAAATGTGTTGTGAGTACATTAATTATTTAATTGCATTTAAAATGTTGTGATGTTATTTTATAAATGTTTTCATTTTTTAACCAGAGTTGACAAAATGATATTTTCCGGGCCCAAAAGCCCGGTGGGCAGCCCGGCCCGCTCTCATGGGCGGGCTTGGACATATGAGGAGGCCCGTTTTACCGGGCCGGGCCGGGCCCGCCCACTACAAGTGGGCAGATTTTTTAGAATAAGCCCGGCCCGAGCCCGGCCCGAGCCCGTGTTTGTGCAGGTCTAGTATCCGAGCTGCGTTTCACATCTTTTGTAACACTCTCAATTTTGGTAGTTTTCTAAACCCCTACTAAACCAGCGTTTTTTTTTCTAAACAACTACTAAACCTCAATTTTTCAACACTTTATTTGGCCTTGACGATAAAAAAACACTTTATTTGGCCTTTATTCTAAAAGACCAATTTTGGTTGTTTTTTAACCCCTACTAAACCTTAACTAGGACTGTAAGCGAATTGAATAATTTCAATTCGATTCGCGATTTAGATTCGAAATTGTGAATCCTAATTCAAAATATTCGAATTAGTTTTGGTATTCGAATAACTTTCCAATACAAATGTACATATATTCAATTTGTGTATTATTCGAATGCATTCGAAGTACCCCGGCTTTTTTTTTTTGAAATCTTTATTCTAAAAGACCGAAATGACGTCGTTTTGGCCTTTTTTAAACCCCTACTAATCCCTAACTAGGGTCGTAAACAAATCGAATAATTTTGATTCGATTCTCGATTCAGATTTGAAATTGTGGATTTAAATTCGAAATAATCGAATACGAATTAGTTTTGGAATTCGAATAACATTCGAATTTGAGACAAATATAGTTCCACTCGTAAAGTATTTGATAATATTCGACATATATGTTTACGAACTATATAGTAGTATATTACATTATGGTATATTCCATCTGTAAACATATGTCTGAAAATAAAAATAAAAGTATGATACATCATAACTTGAATTGGTGAAAAAAATTGGCATTTAAAACATTCGAATTTAAATATTCGAATAAAAATCAAATATATTTGAATATGTGTAATGAATAGAACATGAATAGAATTTATGATTCGAATATTAAATGAATATGAATACGAATATTCATCAAATTATACAAATACAAATAATATTATTCAATATTCAATTCAATGCAATTCATTTACAACCCTAGCCCTAAAGCAGACCACAACAGATTGATCGACGTCTTTAATATTATTAATTTTATATTAATTATAGTTACATTAATTTAGGGACCCCGTGACTCCATTATTCTGGGTCCGCTAGTAGTCTGACGCCCCTGTCCCATGGAGCCGCCGCCCGTTTCCCACTCTCTTGTCGCAACGAGCGTTGTAAAAACATGCGGAAATAGGAATGAAATTAAAGGTGAATACAACTGAACGAGGAAAGAATTGATTTTATTCCCTTGTCCGTCCTGTTCTAGCTACTTACAATTTTACATCCGTATATATACAAAAAGCATTAGCTTACAAATATTCTAGAAGAAAATAATACACTTGCCTAAGATAACTGCATACATACGACACTAATTTAGTACTATCCTAAATTAAGATTAGGAGTTACAAAAAAACGAGTGCCCTAATTTATGGCAATGATTTCAAACACCCCTCAAGATGGAGCGTGAGAATCTCGAACACCCATCTAGTAGAGCAAGTAAAGAAATGTGGCAGCTCCAAGGGCTTTAGTGAATATATCAGCAAGCTATTCGGATGAGCTTTTATACACAGGTTGGATTGTCCCGGCTAGAACATGGTCCTGTAAAAAGTGACAATCGATTTCAATGTGCTTTGTCTGTTCATGAAAGACATGATTAGAAGCTATATGGAGTGCGATCTGATTATCACAGAAAAGTTTAGCTGGACCGGTGGGGACATCAAGTGAGTGAAGTAAACTTTTAAGCCAAAGGAGCTCACTGGTTAACATAGCCATAGATCGGTATTCTGCTTCAGCTGATGATCGAGACACAGTGAGTTGCTTTTTCGTACGTCAGGAGATAGGTGAGTGACCAAGTGTAACAAAATAACCAGAGACCGATCGGCGTGTCAAGGGACAACCTGCCCAATCGGAGTCACAATAGCCAGTTAAGGTCAAAGTAGAGTCACTGCGCAAAAGAATGCCTTGCCTGGGATGTCCTTTCAAATAGTGCATGACGCGCAGAGCCGCTTCCCAATGGGCTTGACGAGGATTCTGCATAAATTGAGATAAAATATGCACCGAATAACTACTATCAGGCCGCGTAAGAGTTAGTTAGATGAGATTCCCAATCAAGCGGCGGTAGCGATCTGGATCAGCACAGAAAACACCCTCATCAAGCTGTAAACGATGATTTTGAACCATAGGAAATGACACCGGACGAGCACCACTGAGATCGGCTTTGGAGAGAATGTCAAGGACATACTTGCGTTGAGAGAGAAAAATGCCGGTGGAGTTGCGGGCTACCTCAATCCCCAAAAAATATTTCATTTTACCAAGATCCTTGATAGGAAATGAGCGCTTGAGAAAGAATTTAAAGTCACGGATCATATCAGAATTATTCTCGGTAAGTAGCAAATCATCCACATAAATAAGAACACAAAATATAGAAGCATTTCGCTTCAAGGTAAAGAGAGAATAATCGGCAAAAGATTGACGGAATCCATATTGTTTTAAAGTGGCAGTAAGTTTGGAAAACCAACATCTGGGCGCCTGACGAAGTCCATAAAGCGAGCGTTGCAGGCGGCACACCTCCCCTGAAGAATAGGAAAACCCGGGCAGAGGATACATATACACTTCTTCATGCAAGTCTTCATGCAGAAAAGCATTATCAACGTCCATCTGAAGCAATTCCCAATGTCGAGATGCAGCAACTGCAAGTATGGTGCGTATTGTGACCATTTTAGCCACCGGTGCGAACGTGTCATGAAAATCTATGCCTTCGGTTTGTCGATTTCCGCACACGACAAGACGAGCCTTGTACCGTTCTATCGATCCATCACTCTTATATTTAATCTTATACACGCACTTACAATGAATGGCTTTCCTTCCAATGGGTAAATTTTGAACAGTCCACGTGCCATTTTTTCCAGTGCATCACACCATTTGGGGTCTTGGACAGCTTTTCGGTAGGTACTAGGCTCAACGTGTGCTGATATCGCTGCTAGAAACACCATGTGCTGCACTGAAAAACGATCATAATTTATATAACAAGATAGTGAATACGGAGTACCTGAGGCAACTAACGAAGTGGAGTCAGCACGAGTGGGGCCAGTTTTCACAATATTAAGTCGGACATAATTATTATGCCAATAGGGTGCTTGACGCGGGCGGTTACTCTGTTGTAAAGGTGACTCCTGTGTGATGATATCTCCACTCATGCCATCTGCTTGTACCTTCTCGACCAGTGAGGTGTCAGTGACACGAATGTCCTCATCATGGGGTGATTCAGAATTTCAGATGATGAGGTGCTGGGCACTTTGGAAACAACACCAGGAGAGTTGAGAACAAATTTGTTCACCCCCTCTAAAGAGGATGAACATCACCCCCACCCTCCAATGTTGCCACATGGCATGGTAATACATTTCAATTTTGCAATTCTTATAACTTTTTTGTTTTTGATTCAATTTTTTCAAAAAATATATCAATATTTTTAGTTTTTTATGATCTTTAATATGATACTAATATCGAATATGTAAAATTTAAAAAAAAAAATCCAACTAAAAAAAGACTTAAGGAAAAAAGATTTTTTTTCAATTTTTTTATATGTGATATGGATACCATTAGAAAGATAATAAAAAGTTATTAAATCTGATATATTTTTTGCGAAAATTAAATTATAAATAAAAAAGTTATAATGATTTTAAGAAAAAAAGGATTTGTGATGCCAAATGACAAGTAAAGAGGGGAGGGGGTGATGTTCACCCTCCAAGAAGGGGTGAACAAAATCAGACTCGGGACTCAGGAGAGTCACTTGCCAACGTGTGTTGTTGCACGTCTATTTTGTATGGGAGATTTGCATGCACATCATCATCATCATGACTTGTACGTAGTGGGTATGTAGGAGGATTATTTTCCAGAATATTTTGGCTACTATTCTTGTAAGGAAAATTATCTTCTAGGAAACGGACGTCTCTGGAAACAAAAATATGTTGATTTTCTAAGTAAAAAATTTTCCAACCCTGTTGTGAGTAAGCATACCCTAAAAAACTCTTGTGGGTAACTGGGTAAGCATACCCTAAAAAGATGCCAATTATACCCCGATCACCAAATTTGTTCTTCACACGATTTTTTGAATGTGCATAACAAAGGCATCCAAAAACTCATAAATTTGTGTAATTAGGCAATTTACCATGCAATAATTCGTATGGCGTCTTACCTTCAATGACAGGTGATGGGAGTCTATTGATCAAATAACCTGCCGTCAAAACACATTCCCCCCAAAAGGTTAATGGAAGTCCAGCCTGAAACCGTAAAGCACGTGCCATCTCAATAATGTGTCGATGTTTCCCTTCCACCCGTCCATTTTGCTGCGGAGTGGCCACACAAGACGTTTCAAAGAGAATTCCTTGTTCTAAAAAATAAGGTTTTAAACACAGAAATTCACTACCATTGTCACTTCGTACTACTTTCACATCCTTATTAAACTGTCTTTGCACCATTGAAAGAAAATTTTTCAAAATATTTTTCACTTCACCTTTTTCACGAAATAGATGTACCCACACACATCGTGAGTAATCATCGACTATAATCAAGAAATAATGGGATCCACATGTTGTTGGTGTCTAATAGGGCCCCCAAATATCATACTGTATCATCTCAAACAATTCAATAGCACGTCCAGTATTAGCATTAAGAACGTCTCGAGTTTGCTTAACTCGTGCACAAGCATCACAAAAAACAGACGAACTTACAAAAGATGTCCATACTGATGTCCCAACCTTTTATTAATTTATTATT